GAATAATACAAGACATTTTGTTATAAAACAAGCTTAAAAGGTAAGCATTGGATGAACCGGTGTTGAATGAACCCTTTGATGATACTCCCGAAAGAAAGATGGAGGGGTCATTGACTTATTCGCACAAGGTCCCTCCATTACTCGCATGACTCCTTGTTTCCTAGATGCATCTCAGTGTCCAAACCTTCCACTGCAATAGCACCAACGGGACGTTGTTAACACCAAGGTCTCCAACCAGGAAATAGAGGTTGCCAATCTAGAGTTAAAGGAGGAGATTGCTGATCTACCATGAAAATGAACAAAAAAGAAAGAGAAAAAGAAGAGAAATGACAAAAAACTAGAAGGAAATAGTAGATCTAGACAATGCAAAAAGCTAGATCTAAACCAAAATCCTGAAAGGAAAGAATAAAAGAAAGAAAATGGAAAAAACTAAATCTAAACAATGCAAAAACTAGATCTAAACCAAAATCCCAAATCCAAGCACTCCTCAGGGACAATCATAAGTGCCCTTTACCTCCACCAATGTGAGTGCTTAGAATATGAAAAGGGAATTAGCCCAAAAACCCTAGTTTATATACAAGAGTGAATAGTCCGGATTGAAACCAATCCGACAGCTACCAAAATCCCATTACGCTAATATTAGTATACCGCATAGTAGTCGTACACTTGGACTTCACAGCATAAAATAAAATTATATGAAGATTTATCAAACAAAAGCAAGAGAACAATTACTAAGAATAATAATTACTAATTTAGTTATTAGCAAGACATTACTTAATTATGCATTTACTTGGAATATAGAACAGTAAGATTTTAAGAGCATTAATATATTACTACTCATCCAGTCATGAAAATAATTACTAAGAAAACTGTTTTATAAAAATAAATTTTATACAAATTGTAAATTCAAATCTTCTATTTCATAGTATTAGCACTAATAAAAAAATTTGTAGTTAGGAAAAAAATTTAAAATATTAATGCTTAATCAAATATTGCATATGTTTTTCTGATAGGAGTTAGATTGTAAATAACTATGGCTACATATAAAAATATATTATATACTCATAATGTTAAAAATGATTAATTGTTTGTATTAACAAATGGTGTTTTGATTATAGACCTACACACTGAGAAAACTAAGCCATCCCATATTTAGCCACTTGAGCATTAGCAGCCTTGATATACCATCACCTAGTGTTTGGGTTCCATATATTTTAGTGATATCTAGATAGGCCATCTATATAGAATATAGTTGTCTTATTATATATTTAAATACTGTTACAATCAAATTCTAAAAGTTAATTTTCACCTAAAATATTCAAAGGGAATAATAAGTTTAGGTAGAGTTGATTATAAGCAGTAAAAATAAGTGTTTAAAATAAAGTAAAATACTAATGAGATAAATACAGGTAAAAGATTATGAAATTTAGGATACATGAAAAATAAGAATTATAAATAAAATATAGCTCTAACCATATAACAGTAATTACCTGTACTAAATCATTGAATTAGCTATTAGAATAAAAACTGGTGGAAATTCAAAATTCAAAATAAAATACAATTTAAAACATTTTAAACTGGCTGTTTGAAGTACTTTATTAACTTAACATTTCTAAGCCATAAAAAATATTAGAAAGAAAGAATATCTCTTTATACTTAATTTTGTATCAAAATATTATAGTACTAATATAGGACAGCTCTTAATAAACAACTAAGTAAAGCTTTTTTCGCCTATACTCACGTTTTCGCCTCTACTTGCAAAATAGTAACAAACAAATAGAGACGAAAACGTAAAAAAAAAAGAAGGAGAAGAGAAGAAGATTAAGAAGAGAATAGAAAAGAACTCATCCTTAAACCTCAAAGGCATAAATAAAGATAAACATATGTCACTCTTTCAACTCTACTTTGCATAAACAGTTATAAGTGGGAGAAAAGATGGTTAATTCAATGCAAATGCATACAATAGTAAGTGGGGGTTTTTTTCCAGCACGTCTAAATGCTATTTATAAATTACATAATTTTATAACCATTCTTAACTGCTTTATGTTTATCTATAATGAGTATTGCCTAAATCGAGTCTTTCTTCTTTGAATGCCTAAACTTAGGCATAACTCCATTTCACCTAAACTTTCTTTTTTTGCTCTATCTGGGATGATACCCAAGATAAAATATTTACCTCTTTATCAACAACTAAGTAGACCCATCCTCAATATCATCCTCTCTCATTACAGACTTCTTTGGACAGCTTTTCAAGAGTTGCTAGATACTTTTGCATGAAGGATTGGAAGGACAACCATCTGAGTGTGACAATGGACTTATCCCCAGTGAGCCAAACTCTCTTGAGGAAAATCATTAAACAAAATGTAGATCTATATTAGTTTTGGATTTTGATCTGGGCCAGGGAAAGCTTAATGCCAGATAGCCCAAGACCTTTTGATACCACACTTCCCATCATCATGGGCAGCATAATTAACTACTGTTAAACTTTGGCCAGCACCTCAGTGTCCCAATTTCTACACCCTTGAATTCACCTAGTAAAGAAAGTAAAAACTTACCATCCTAATGACCATGTGGATTTGCTATATTGAGGAGCAAGTGAGCCATGAATTCCCCTCCTCTGTTGCCAGCAGAGAAACTCAAGCAATTCTTCAATGTACTTCCCAACATAATCCTCTTGGCATTGGGCATGACAATCAGAGTGCCAACAGTACACTAGATCAATCGATTTCCTAAGCACAAAGGGGATGGATAAGACCTTAGACATAGCATATACATAAAGCTGCTATTGTGCGAGATCATCTGGGCCAGAGAGACATTAGAAGAAATGCACTTCTACTAGGGCATCTAGGGGAGAGTTGGCACAATCCCTTTCTTTACTACCCAACATCCAAGCTTTGCATACCTAGCATAGGCACATGCATTTGTGCTGTTGTGACCCGCTGAAGTTCTAGATGTCAAGCTAAGTCACCCAAAGCCTAGGTAAAGAAGAGCCATAAGACCTGCAAATTGCTTCAGCTCAGAACACCAAGTAGTGTTAATCTAGTGCACATTCTTCAATGGTCTAAGCTATCATACTCGGGACATACCTGGTCATATGTGTACCACAAACATCCCCATGCTCAAGTGGCACAAGCTCTTGGGCCTCCATCTCTGGTGCTGGGTGATGCCGGTCAACGGTCACCTCCTCTCTCACTTCCCCTGGAAACTTTGCATCTAAGAGAAGCTGTAGTAGAAGGAGAGTTTTATCCCTCTTGGGCCACACAAACAAATAGGTATCACTCACCCCTCCTCCCCCAGCCTGTGGGCCATGCCATGGCCTCACTGGCCAGCCCAAACCTCACAAAAATATTTTAGAAGGATCCATAGAATTTTTTTTTAATATTTATCAAGTTACCCTGCATCTGATGACAACTATTGGCCAGATTCAGTGGCCCACAAAGTTCAACGATCACTCCTTATAGTAGTAGACTAACAATTGCCCAACAAATGCTGGGTGGTTGGCAAATTTCATACCATTTCAAGAGGTTTGCTGAACTTAACTATGTTTGTTGTTTGATTAACTTCACAATTGAAAAACATTCTCTTGATTGAATCTGAATGTCTTAATAACTTTTAATAGATGATTGTAAGCCACAAATTTTTACTTTTTAATTTACTAGCTTACCTTGTTTATCTGACCACTATGGTCTTGGCTTTAATTAAGTTCCTTTGCAAAGTTCTCACTTATTGTACCAACTCTTACTTGGTCTTACTTTGTTTCAGCAACTCATTGCATGAGAAATAGAGTGTTAGGCATCCATCTATAAATTCCTAAATTCTCTCATAATCCCCCTCCCCAGGTTAAATTGAACTTAAGGTTTGGCTACACTCCTCACAAGCACAAGCAACTAAGCATACCAAGCCCCCAAGTTCCTAACATCCTTTAATACAATAAGATTTGATCATAAGACCTTTTAAATCCTAAATTTTGGGTGCAACACTTACTTTGGGACACTAGGGGGTAACACCGTGGTATATCAACCTGGTACGGGTGCCTCTACTCCCCCACTTTCATCCCGAAGAGAAGGCCCAAGCCCCTAGGAAGGGTGAGGATCAATGAGCCACAAGGTATTCAAGTGGGGGATCATTCCATATGAGGCAAGAGCATTGCAATCAATTTCCCTTTTAGGAGTGGGAGTTGCTTTTGGGCACTTCCTTGGGGGGCCCCATAAGAACCCCCCCAACCCCCCCCCCCCCCCCCCCTAGGAGACACACACTTTGGGCTTTCACCCCACAATCTGTATTAGTATTTGGACTTGATCTCGGACTCAATCTTGGATTCGGTCTTGGACTTGATCTCGGACTCGACCTTGGACTTTGTCTCGGACTCGATCTCAAACCCTATCTCAGACTTAATCTCGGACTCTGTCTTGGATCTGACTTTAGACTTTATCTTCGACTCGATCTCGAACTCGGTCTTGAACTCGGTCTTGAACTCGGTCCCGGAGTCAGTCTCGAACTCAATCTCGAACTTGGTCTTGAACTTGGTCTCAAAGTCAGTCTTGGACTCAATCTCAGCCTCGGTCTTATCCGATGAACTCTTTTGGGGATCCTTTAGCCTACAACACCTCGGGGAGTTGGTTCCTTACAATGATTTAGAATGGCAATATTGCATATAAGAAATTTCTACTTTAAAATGCCATCTCAATTAAGGTAGTTATTTGTTTTTATTTATTTGTATTGTTCACCAAAAGATCCAAATCTATTATGGGATCAATTCAAAATTGATATTTCTGAGGATATGCTATAAATGATATAAACTATTTTGATATTGCTTTATTCGATATTAACTCAAAATTTCAACTACACAATAAATCCAATTCTGATTTTGATTTACCACTCCCATAGTTACAAACACAGCAAGGATCCCGGTTGTGTTCACTGTGTTTCATGAACACAGCCATGGTTCATATTCCCACAGTCGTGTTCATGAATAGAGTATATTGTTGCGAACACGGGCCATGATCCCAGCCGTGGTTGCCAAGATCACAGCCTGTGTTTGTAACACGATTTAAACTCTTAGGGTGCATGCAACAATCTCTTGTATTTCCTCCAAACTCTCGATCTTATTCACTGCTATTGCCACAGCCGATTCTAGTAGCGCCACAGCTGCTGCTACCACTGCCGATTCTGGTAGTGCCGCAGCCATTGATTCTGAATCCAGCATACTGCAGGTGAAAGCATCCTTCTTCACGGTGGTGGGACGAGGTAAGTGTGCTTGAGAGGATTATGCAAATATTGCACAATAGTGAACAAGCTCAATGGTGTTGATTGTGTGTGAGCTCATATATTGGGAGAAGGCCTAGGCAGCAGGGATATTGTGAGTTGCCCCCTTATCCCAGGTAATAAGAAGGTAGAGTTAATTAATATGCAAAAGGTTATTGACTTTGAGAAAGGCACAAGGGGGAAGAAATAGCTAAATATAGAACTTTTTAGTGGCAGTGGTATCATCCTAGGCAACTGGAAGTGGCTACTTTTCCTCATTGTTTAGCAAGTAGAGCCAAGTCTATATTGTAGATTTGATGGATCCAAAGTGGAAGAGTTGAGTTGATACAGCGATTGGAAGGTTTTTCTGGAATGAACACATTTCATTTGTGAAAGCTCAATCCTCTTACTTCCTCAATATGATCTAGGAAGTGTGAGACACAAAATCCCTAGGCCCCAAAGTAGAGCCGGAAAGGGCGCCACGTGGTAGTGGCCGAAGCGAGAGCCAAACGAGCGTAACACGTTTGGACCAAAAGCTCCGACTTGAAAAGTCAAGAGCGGGAGTGGAACTCCCAACGAAGTGCTCGAGGAACGAGCACGAAGCGAGCAAAAGGCGAGGCTCCAAAAAGGGACCCAAAAGGACCAACACATGACACGTGGGAGTGTCCGAGATGGACTCGAGTTGGAGTCCGAAGTGGAGTCCGAGATGGACCCGAGTTGGAGTCCGAAGTGGAGTCCGAGATGGACCCGAGTTGGAGTCCGAAGTGGAGTCCGAGATGGACCCGAGTTGGAGTCCGAAGTGGAGTCCGAGATGGACCCGAGATGGAGTCCGAGATGGAGCTGATAGTGGAGTCCGAGGTGGACCCGAGATGGACCCGAGTTGGAGTCCGAAGTGGAGTCCGAGGTGGACCCGAGATGGAGTCCGAGATGGAGTCCGAAGTGGAGTCCGAGATGGACCCGAGATGGAGTCCGAGATGGAGTCCGAGATGGAGTCCGAGGTGGACCCGAGATGGACCCGAAATGGAGTCCGAGATGGAGTCCGAGATGGACCCGAGATGGAGTCCGAGATGGAGTCCGAGATGGACCCGAGATGGACCCGAGATGGACCCAAGATGGAGTCCGAGATGGACCCGAGATGGAGTCCGAGATGGAGTCTGAGATGGACCCGAGATGGACCCAAGATGGAGTCCGAGATGGAGTCCGAAGTCGAGACCGAGACCGGGACCGAGACCGGGACCGAGACCGAGACCGAGACCGAGACCGAGACCGAGATCGGGACCGAGACCAAGACCGAGGCCGAGGCCGAGACTGAGCCCGAGCCCGAGTCCGAGTCCGAATCCGAGTCCGAGTCCGAGTCCGAGTCCGAGTCCGGAGCCTGAGAGGGTGAAAGCCCAAAGCGTTCGTCTCCCAGACCCTGGGGGGTTTGGTGAGCTCCAAAAGTATAGTAGGGGGAGGACTGCAGTGGAGCCAGTTTGGCCAGGAAAGGCCAGTTTGGCCCAGGAAGGCCGGACCCAGTGTTGGGTGATGAGCTGCCCACTGGGAAGTCCAAGACTAGAGTGAACACGGACCGAAACATGGGGTAGCTTGGTGAAGTGTTCAAGAGCTGGCTTTAGTTCCCCCGGGAGATCGACTGGCCGATGCTCCCAGTCCAAGTGTGGGTGGCACTACCTACTTGGATACCTGGTGTGGCTCAACAGAACCCGCTCTAAGCCCATGGCTAGAGCACCCAAGGGCAGAAGGCGAGGAGAGTACCCAGGTGGCTCGCGTAAGGCCACGGTATTCCGAAATGTTGTCCCAAAGGCCCAGACTGTGGAAAGGAAGAGGAGCAGTCCTCTGGGGCAGTGACCAAGGACACAGTCGTGTGGTGAGGAAGTCCCAGAGGACCGTGGGACTTAGTGGTCGGGCCTATGAGTCTCGATCCAGTGGCAGTGTTGGCAAACACGGCCAGGGGCAGAAAAGGGCTTAGTGGGGACTGACAGAGGGATATTGGGGAAGGCTATTCCCCTTGTCGGTGGGCATCCTAAGGATGCTAAGGAGTGGATCTGAGATGACCACTCACGGATGGTTTGCCTAGTCTTGGAGAGCCAAGACGGTGATGCAAGTGGTATTGGACCACCAGTGTGGCAAAGGTGATTGGGCATGGCTTTAGCGTAACGGGCTGTTATGTCGGTGGTACCTTTGAGTGTCGGTCATGGGATTGGACACGTGGAGCACTTGGACCAAGTGCAAATGTTGAGTGGCATGGATGCCATTCTTGGGGTTAGCAAGTCCCAAGTCCTGGATTGGACTTATGGAGGTTGTGAATGAAACTCCTCCAAGTGGTCAGAGGTGTGGTTAAGTGACTAAAGTAGAATGGAAAATTTAGTCGCTTACAGGAAGTTCCTAGACATAGTGTGCTTTATGCACCACCAAAATATGATGATCTTCAGGAGAAGCTTTTGTTGAAAGAGAAGGGATTCATTGATGCTGAGATGGCATCCATGAAGAAGTAGTGGGAACAGAGGGGTGTAACCATATGCATAGATGGGTGGACAGATAGGAGGAATCGGCATATCATAAGGCTTGTGGCATATAATCAAGGACAGGTAGCTTTTTTGAAGGCTATTGATATTTCCTTAATAGGAAAAATAATTGAGAATACTTTGTGTTGTTGGGAAGAAGGCATTAGCATTGTGGGTGCAAAGAATGTTTTCATGGTAGTAACAAATGGGGAAAATGCGAACAAAGCAACAGTAGCAATTCTGAAATAAAGGTACCCAAAGATTCAATGGGCAACATGTTTTGCCCATTTTTTAAACAATGTGTTAAAAGACTTCAATAAACTTCCATGGATGGTAATGCTTCTGGAGTGAGGAAAGGTTTTGGTGAGCTTTGTCAAAAACCACTCTCATATGGTGGCACTCCTAGCAAAGTTTACTCACAAGCAAATGCTATGCTATTGTGATATGAGGTTTGGCTACAACTTTATTATGATAGAGAAGATGGTGGACCTTCGGGAAGCTGTACAATAGATGTTCATATGCCTTGCATACAAAGCAAAGCTTGAGTTGAAGACAAGAGTAGGCAGAGATAGTTATGAAACCATTTTTGATGACCATTTTTGGGAACAAGTTAAGGACATGTTAGAGGTGTCCAAGGATGTTATGTTGCTACTTCGTCTTGTGGACAGTGATATACCTGCAATTGAAAAAATATATAAGTGTATGAATAGATTGGATGCAAATTTAGAGGAAGGACAGTCAGATTATAGCAGGTACATGGAACTTTATCAGATTATGTCTAACTGGTGGCATGAGTATCACTCGCTCATGCACTCGGTGGCATATATGCTAGACCCCGAGTTTCAAAAGCATGAAAAACATGCTAATAGAGAAGTCATGAAGGATTGGAATGCTTATCCATTGGCCATGTTTACATCCAGTGAAAGGGACGTGATATGGGATGAGCTTTTAATTTATAGGAGGATAGGAGGCATTTTCAACTCGATTGATGCTAAAGCTGATCGCACTAAGAAGGGAGTGGTATGTTGGTGGGAGGACTATGGTTATGAAATTCCAGCTCTTCAAAAGTTGGCCATTCAAGTTCTAAGTCAGGCATGCTTGTCATCCTTGGTGGAGAGATTGTTCAGCACTTTCAAGCATGTGTTTTCAAAGAAGAGGAACAGACTTACTATGGACAGAACAACAGATCTAGTTTTTGTGGCTTGCAATAGTAGGTTGTTAACTTGCAAAAATGACCATGACTACAACAAGTTTGTGAGCTACAAAGTACTAGAGATAATTCCTCATCTGGAAGATGAGCTTGAGTCAAGAGCTCGTCTTCTAGATGAGGAATTGTGTCTAGTACTTTGTACTAGAGGAAGATGGTTATGATGTTGAAGATTGTGAGGTTGAAGATAATGATGATTTGTAGGCTATTTGAGTATAATAAAAATTAGCATATTCCTAAAATAAAAAATAGAAATATTCTTAAAATATTCACTAGAATATTTGTGAGCCATCATGAGTCATGATCATGTTCTGTGGTCGGGTTCCTGAAATCTAAGGCTCATGTTCTTGAAATCTAAGGCTTGTGTTTGTGTTCCATGTTTGTGTTTATAACTATGACCACCCCCAACTCTTGCTCCCATTATCGAACACATGCTCAATATACAAATCTCTAATCTATCATAAAACCAAATCAATGCAAATATAAATCAATTCAGTGATGACTAATGCTATATTTTTTAGCTCATTATGAATGCCATTGATATTAACCAGTATTAGTGTTTCTTTATTGATAGATCTGGTGGTATTGGGAAAAATTTTCTACTTAATACCATTATTACAACATTATAATTAAAAAAAATAAAAGTAATTGCAAGCATTTTGCTAAAATATAGTCAAACGGCATACCTATGTCATACTTTCTAACATCTACTCGGCGGTTATTTGTGTTGATGATAATATAATTTTTACAACTTTAAACTTCCTATTCATTTAAATGAAACTTCTGTCTCTATGTTAACAATTAATACTATTGCTAGAAAAAACATTAAATAATCAAATGTTCTCATATAGGATGAAATTAGTATGGTGCACACACATGCTTTCTCTATAGTTAATAAATGTTTAAAGCATCTTAAATTTAATTCTAAACCATTTGGAGGCATTATAGTGATTACAAGTGGTGACTTTCGTCAAGGCTGGATAGCTTTTGAGCTGAGCTCAAGTTAATAAAAGTTAATAAAAGTCAATATTCTCCACTAAATACAAAAATTGATATTCAAATGATTGGTTCAAGATGAACCAACAATTCTATTCAAAACTTTAGACATATTTTCAGTCCAATAAGTAAACAAATATCATGAGTCAAAGAAGAAACTCTATAATACCACTAAAAAATTTGACTAGAACAAAAACTAAATTTAGTCTTCCTTAGCATCCACATCTACAAAAAGAGGAGTTCATATAGTATTATGCTCTCTAACTGTGGGCTCTTGTTGTATATGAGCTTATGCCATTACTTTTGCATAACATAGTAAATTATAGCCCATGTCATCGATCCACCTAATATAAACAACCATGATGGAATTACTATAAATGAGAAATTTATATTTTATTATCACATGTTATGAAATGTCCCAAGAACATCTTCAAATGCACTTTCCTTCTTCAATGCAAAAACTACACAACTAATTTCTTTAGCCACTAGCACCATCGAACCAAAACCTACTATAGCATCAAGCACAATCCCCTTAAGAGGACAAAACAACTTTAGAAAGATTTGCATGGCCTTTGGTGAATGGTGTCAATAGCCAAGGAATTCTATATGATGGTCCTCATTAATGACATTTGGGATGATGTCTATTGAACTATCATATAATGCCAAACTTGCATGCTTATCAACTTGTGTAATACTATGATGGCAAGACTAGCAGTAGAGAGTATGGTAGGTCCATGCTAAAACCTACAATGAAAAGAAGCAATTAATTTAACATATGAAAAATAAGGAAATGCAAACCTTTTAGATCCGGCTACTTGCTCCTTATGTTTCGACTGGGATGTTTGAGAGTAGGCAGCTCGATGCAAACTCAACCAATCTAGAGTTGTCATTCTACACCATTGTTACAAGAAGACCTCCCCAAAATAAAGAACGAAGTAGTCTTTAATAACTATTTCCCAATTGCCAACATTTCCCATTGGAGAAAGAGGGCGAAATTGAATAGTGTTTCAAAACCGGGAAATATTAAAGTTAATACATATTTTTTTTCATACTTGTTTGTGTGAAGCTAATGAAGACAACTCTTGAAGGTTATCCTCTATATTTGAACCTCTATAGATCATCTCTCAAGTCATTCTCTTTGGTTGCTTACAATCCACCATGCTTCCCTGCAAGTTCACACCCTCGTGAATGGAAGCCCCACTCTCTTGACACCCTACCCCTTGGGTTAAGCCCAGCTGGAACAAACTGGACCTGCCAAATGTCAATCAATATGTGGTGCAATTCCCCTAGCCAACTAATAGAGTCGGACCCCAAATTGCTTCTAATATCAAATGTAAGCTCATGAGTTTGGACTTCTTAGGAAGTCACCCAACCTAGTACTATTTAAACCCAAGGACACTTAACCTAAAGTATCCAAAAACCCTTAACCAATTGGAAAAGGACGTGCACTCTTATTCATGGGCCCTCTCTCTTTATATTTGAATCTTTATAGATCATTTCTCAAGTCATTCTCTTTGGTTGCTTACAAAAATGCATTTATACTTTGATATATAGAGTGCTAGCTAGTTTTTCCGACATCTACAACCATATTACAATAAGCAAGGTCATTGGAAATCAAATTCTTACTCTCTTGGACATCTTCACTATAGAGCTGCCTGTAAGCAACTAAATTTTCTAGTTTACTTTAGTCATTTAACCACACATCTGACCACTTGGAGGAGTCTCACTCACAACCTCCGTAAGTCTTGTTTTGCACTTAGGGGCTTGCTAGCCCCAAGAATGGCATCCATGCCACTCAACTATTGTGGTCCAAGTGCTCTACGTGTCCGATCCCATGATTAACACCCCAAGTTACCATTGACATATTAGCCTATTATGCTAAGGCCATGCCCCTTCACCTTGGTCACACCGGTGGTTTAACACCACCTGCATCACAATCCCATCTTTCAAGGACTGAGTCATCCATTCATGAGTGATCATCCCAGATCCACTCCTTAGCATCCTTGGATGCCCACAGACATGAGGATTAGCCTTCCCCAATACCCCTTTTCCAGTCCTCATCAAGTCCCTTTTTATCCATGGCCGTGTTCGCCAACACTGCCACTAGATCAAGGCCCACAGGCCCGACCACTAAGTTGCACTGTCCTCTGGGACTTCCTCACTATGTGACTGTGTCCTTAGTCACCATACCAAAGGGCTACTCCTCTTCCTTTCCACAGTCTGGGACTTTGGGACAACATTTCGGAACACCATGGCCCTACACAGGCCTCATGGGTACTCTCCCTGCTTTCTGCCTTTGGGTGCTCTAACAGTGGGCTTAGAGCGAGGTTCCGTTGAGCCATGCCAGGTATCCAAGTAAATAGTGCCACCCACACTTGGACTGGGAGCATTGGCCAGTCGATCTCTCAAGGGAACTAAAGTTGGCTCTTGAATACTTCACCAAGATACCCCGCTTGTCAGTCCATATTCACTCTAGTCTTGGACTTCCTAGTGGTCAGCTCATCACCCAACACTTGGGTACAGCCTTCCTGGGCTAAACTGGCCTTTCCTGGCCAAACTGGCTCCATTGCAGTCCTCCTCCTTACTATACTTTTGGAGCTCACCAAACCCCCTAGGGTCTGGGAGATGAACGCTTTGGGCTTTCACCCTCTCAGAATCGAACTCAAACTCGAACTTGGACTCGGACTCGGACTTGGGCTTGGGCTCGGTCTCGGTCTTGGCCTTGGTCTATCTCAGGTCCATCTCGGGTCCATCTCGGACTCCATCTCGGGTCCATCTCGGACTCCATCTCGGGTCCATCTCGGACTCAATCTCGGGTCCATCTCGGACTCCATCTTGGGTCCATCTTGGGTCCATCTCGGACTCCATCTCGGGTCCGTCTCGGACTCAATCTTGGGTCCATCTCAGGTCCATCTTAGACTCCATCTCAAGTCCATCTCGGGTCCATCTTGGACTCCATCTCGGGTCCATCTCAGACTCAATCTCAGGTCCATCTCGGGTCCATCTTGGACTCCATCTTGGGTCCATCTTGGGTCCATCTCAGACTCCATCTCAGGTCCATCTCGGACTCAATCTTGGGTCTATTTCGGACTCCATCTCGGACTCCTCCACATGTCATGTTTTGGTCCTCTTGTGTCCCCTTTTCTAGAGACTCACTCATGGCTTGCCTCGTGCTTGTTCCTCGAGCACTTCGTTGGGAGTTCCACTCCCACTCTCGACCTTTTCAAGTCGGAGCTTTTAGTCCAAATGTGTTACACTCGTTTGGCTTTCGCTTCGGCCACTACCACGTGGCACCCTTTTGGCTCCACTTTGGGGCCTAGGGATTTTGTGTCTCACACTGCCTTCGTACATTTTGAGCAATCAGGGCTAGATGAGCAACAACAATAGAATTTAGGGAATGAGTAACTATAGTAGGATGAGATAGGGAAAGAGAGTTTTCAGTTGGGTTTTCCACTTGTTCCTCTTCGGTTTGCTCAATATGAATCTCATCCCTGTCCTAAGGCATCTCCACTCCCTCCAAAGTGCCTCTACAATAAAGTAGAAATATGAGTTACTGCTAGGAAGTTTTACTCATCAAACCTGGATAACACTCAAGGTAGAGATCGAGCTCAAAAGGTGATGATGGCATTTGCCTCCACAACTCCAAGTACCATTGACAAAGTTCTCACTTTCACGCAGTGGGACAATGAAACTCTAGCTCATACGTGCCAAGTTTCTTCCCACTAGTTAAGAGCTTTAAAAAAACACTTGCTATATATATTGGAGCACATGGGCAATGATTTAAATACCTATAAAAGAGCCATGATTAAATAAGCAAGTCAATTTCTTGCAATATACCTATATATCATGCAGCACAAGAAAAATGGTTGGCCCAATTGATTCTTGAAATCCATGAAGCTTGAGCTGCCATCAAGAAGCCATCCATCCCCAAGCTCTTAAAGGGAAGTTTGGACGTATTCTAGAAGTGCTATACCAGTGCGGGCACTAGTAAGGAACTTCGTATCCCATACTTGAAGTACCTCCATAACAGTTGCAATACTTTGAGTGATATAGAGCTTCTCCTTCACATTCTGAAGTTTGCTCTCTAGCCTCTTATCATTATTATGATGCTAAGTGTTGAGGAGCTCCAAGCAAGAGGTTTGTTCGTTGAAGGAGAGCTTGCTTTTTG